AAATAGGACAGTTCAGGGTCGGTAAATTGTTTGTGATTGGGCATAACCGAAGACGTTTGCTAACAGTTCCAGTGAGGGTAAAACCATGCCACGCGATGTTGAGAAATCACCCCCTGATCCGATTTTGCCGGAAAGTTTTCTAGTCCCTTTTTCGCATTTCCCTGGGAATCCAGGGACAAACTACAGAATATTTGGACGAAACAACTTGGTCACAACGGTCCTAATGCTGATTACCCACTTCAGATGATGACGCTCCGCTACAGAATTGACAGTCACCAACGAAATCATTTCTAAAACTATGACTTCATATTATTCGAAGAACCAAATTTTGGATATATTTCACATCAATTTTCTTGTCACACTAATCGCTTGTTCATCAACAACTACGTTGTTGGGGCCGGTATTTCTTACATGGCAATGTGTAAAACCAAAAACGTGAATTCGTGTTAACTGGCTGATCAGAGGAGAACGTTAACAGTGTGATCATCAGACTGTGTGAGTGAATTGAATGATGTATTACGCATCCAGCAATGCAGGAATCGAAACATCACGCAATTATAGTCTTTTTAACTGTCGTTCAAGCAATGAGTACCAATAATGGCTTCAAAGATGTAATAAAATCCTATTTTAAAAAATTGTTACTGTCCTACTTTGTCATTCATTGTCATTTTTCGTCTCATTTAAATCTTAACCGTTTAACCCTAAACCACGGTTTACCAATAAACCAAGCAAAACATAATATGATCAATCGGATAGTTGACTACTACAGAACTTTTGCCCGGCCGGTGATTCACGAGCTCCTTCAAGATAGGGAGTTTTCAGTTTTGGAGATTTTCCTTTTTATGTACAACCGTTGGCAGGTTTAGAGTTAAAAGGCAAGATTTTGCTCTCTGCGGCTGAATAAATAGCTTTTGAGCGACAGAAGAGATAAGGGATTTTAAGACATATTCACTATGCAGGGAGTTCATGCCGTTTGTTACGGCTGACACTGTCGAAGGATTAGATAATCTGTGGCTTAGTGACACGTGCAGCCAGTATATTTCTTTGATGATGCCGGTACACTCTGGCCATTTAGGAGAGGGTGTTTTATAGATGGCGCATGCTGCCCAGCCATTAATTTATATATTGCCTTTAAATGTTGATTTAGTATTTTACGTCTAGGTTGAAAAATGGCCTCTTTTTTGATTCTGCCGAAGCAATAAATTTGCTTAATTTCAACATAATTCTAAAATGAACATCACATAAAACATAAACCCACCGTCAGCCTTATCTCCATTGTACGATACTTCTTCATTAGTTCCGCGAAATCTGATGTAAGTCGCTCGTTCAGCTCTCTGAGGGTCTTGTTCTCGCCTTTTAGACACTGCAGTTCCTCTGAATCGAACAATTGCTGCCTTTTCATATCATTCCGCTCGTTTCTGAGGGTGTTGACCATGTTCTCATTGGCAGCACTTTTCTGTGAAAGGCAAAAAATCATTCGGAATACAAAAACTTGAGGGACAACTTACCTCTATCCACTCCTTCCTTTCAACGATCATGGCGTTTTCCAGTTCGAGAAGTTTTGCATCGAGTTTCGATTTCACTTCAGAGCAATTAATGTTCGCTTTCGAAAGCTCTGCCTGTATCATATTTTTCGCATCTTCGGAGGCGTCCAACTTTCTTCTTAACTCATCGACCATCTTTGAAAGACGCTAAATTATTATAACGAAAATTAATTAAATCACAGCAAATATAATATATGTAGAGATAAACATGAAAGCAGAGTCGGTTTGCAGAAAAAGCAGATGCTAAAAGCAATCAGTAACAATTGCGGTATCAGCCGACTATGACAACTACAGCTGAAAAAAAACTGAAAGCGGTGCAAGTTGGGTTAGGACTTTCCACCACTTGCCTATCTGATCAAAACCTGACTTAAGTACTTCATTTCTTTGAATATTTTGGATTGGGTGACTGTGGAGAGACATAGCCTATATTTAATGAGCGTTTACCCACATACGATTCTTAACAACTCTAAAATGATCTGCAACACCACGCAAAATAAAAGTTTTGTAAAATAATAGTTTTCTAAGTAAAGTTAAAATTTTGTAAGTTTCTACTTCAGATCAAATTCTAAATAAAACTGACTACAAAAGAATATCTTGCGAAATCCTTTAACTACACATAATACCGAGGCATTATCAATATATTTTATGTACTTATTCAGAGAATTGACATTACATGCATCAGTGTGTATTGTAAACTGAAGCGTAGACAAGAATGTGGTAGACCACCTAAGTTGATTTATAGAGTAAAAATTTGAGTCGGTCTCCGTGATAACTCACTGCGGCTCAAGAGAGCTTTGGATAACCAACTAAGTATTTGAAACAATAGCGAGGGAGCAAAGAGTTGCTAAATGTTTATCACGCTTCTAGATATTAAATGTCGCGTTGTAGTGGAGAATTAGGTAACGAGTCATGCAACCAGCTTTGTCAAAACCTTCGGCAACTGCATTTTTGAAATATGATAACGCAGCAATACAGCTGCTGCGCTCTGTGCAAACAAGATGAAGTTCTGTTTGACTTGTTGACTTTGGGTAGTGTTATAAACCGTTACAAAGTTGTCACAGGTATCTAAATCAATAGCAATGCAATTACTATTCTAACCTAATCTACGGATGGAAAATTCGCAGTATCTCGATCAAACGTGATGCCACAGTAGGTAAGAGGTTGGCTATACACTCCAAAATGACCCGGTTCGAATCCTTTCAAAAGACAATAGATTTCTGAAACGCCAATTCCCTTGAGCAAAGATTTAACAATATGTTGCTTTGGTGCAACCAACCGAGAAACGCGTAGAAAGAAGGCGACTTACGAATTATACGGACAATATGGTCTGGTCATAGCAGAATAAAAAAAGGCATACAGCCATGCTGTGCGCTCTGATCACCTCCATGGCTGTTTCGCACTGACCGAAATGACAGCTGACTATTCAGTGTAATAATCATCATAAGGTGCAACCTGATCTCTTTGTTCTTTCTTCTTTAAGTTTAACAACTTAATTTTCATGCTGTTATTTTAATATCTTCCATATTTTTTGTTGTCCTCTCTACTTGCTTTTTATCTCTCTGTTTAACACCATTCAGTAGATCGTAATTTTGAAAATATTTGTTCATTTTGCTGTCTTCTGATGCCAAGCAAAGCCAAATACATTCGTGTCTTTCTGAATTATGACTGTTCATGCAAGATAAAAAATTGTGCTATGTGATGCCATCGAATCAGCAAAATCTTCATTTTAATCACGCGCAATCTGGGCAATTAACCATTTAATCGCTAATGACGACAACTGGGGGCAGAGTAGAGCAGGAAAGGTAGTTAAAGTGGTATTACATGAAATGGACAAATCCAGGAAAATGACATGACATCTTGGAATTCAGACCACTGGCTGTGCTTGTGAGTTCAGCAGCAAACCGAGACCAAATGAAAAAGGCCGTCCCCTCAAGCAACTGTCCCCCGAGATTGCAAAGCAATACGTGGAATTGAAAATGAACTAATATATGAACGACAGTTTCCGAAAAGCATGAAAAGCTTCTCTGAAATTACTGATGCATCGCCGAATTATTGTTGAGAACACCAAACGACACAGCTAAAAAGGTAACAAATTGTCAATGGATTTTTACCAGGTTTACACGGCGTACAGATACCGTTCGCTTTTTTCTTGCGGTCTAGAGGACCATTCAAGGCGGGGCCATGGCTCCATGGTATTTGAGTACTTAGCAGTATGCTGATAAATCGATAAGTAGGGTTATGTATGATTTTATGCATAAGTATGCTTACGGAAAATTGTATATCAACAGATGTGCGGACATGATTTTATTCGGTCCTGTATAGTGATGCAGTTTTGCATACATGCACTGCAGGTGCTTAAATGCCAGGGACCCGTGGCCTGCTTAAATGAACCCTAGACCGTTAAAAGCAAGAGATATATTACACGAAGATTTTATACCACGTAAATCCGACGGTAAAAAAATGTTTTCGGCGGTATCGAAAACGAGCAGAATGCTAGT